GGATTACATGTCTTCTGATAAATGATATCTTTCATGCAGTAAATCAGGTATTATTTAGCAGGGAGAAAAAAAGGGATTTTTTTCCATATTAGACTCTAATTGTGTGTAATGCAGAGAAAGAAAGTAAGGGAGCCTTTCCTGGTTTCCAGCTAGAAATAAGAAACATTACAACAGTTCAAACTTTCCATGGGCCTGGGAATCACTCTAGCAATTTATACAAACAGCAGTGTCATGATTCCATTTATAAAGCACATTAGTGACCCTGGTAGATGTTACTGTCTGCAGAGGATTAAGAATGCACTTTAGAGAAGATATTACAGCTTTGGAAGTTAGTGTTGGTTTTAAGATCTCCAGGGAGTTGCATTTTAAGTGTGCAGCTGCCTTGAGAATGAGCTGAAGCAGTCACAAACTCAAGGCAAAATCCCAGAGGCCAGACCTGGTTTCAATATTCTAGAATTTTCCTTCTCCATACCAAAGAGAAATACTTCCTCCTCTGAGGCTCATTTAAACCATGACATATATCAGGAACCAGCCAACTTCCTATAAAGAGAAGATAGTAACTATTTTAGACTTTACAAGACATGCAGTCTTGGAAACAAGTACTCAACTCTCCATTGTAACAAAAACTTACATAGAAGATCTGCCACAGAATGAGAGCCACTGTGGTCCAAAAAACATTAACAGAAACAGACCGTGGACTCCATTTTGCCTGTGGGCTATAATCTGCTGACCACTGCATGAATCATCTCCCATGTGGACCCTACCTACTAAATCCTGTATAACCCCCCACTTCACAGCCACTAGAGCTTTCTCACAGGGCCCAAGGCCGTCAGTCTGAGGCTCCACCAAGGGCCAATCTTCCCTTCAATCTTCTTCCTTTCTCAGAAACTTATGAATACCTTGGCCTCCCTGTGTCATTATCTGTCCAGGTCACAAAACCTTCCGTCAGTTCCAGTTCACTTTGAACACTCCCATCCATGGCACCATCAGTAGCTTGATATTTGACTTTTGATCCCTAAATTTCCACATCACTGATCATAAACTCCCAGTCTTCCTAACTCCCTTGCTTTTTACCTCATCATCCTAAACTCAGCACAATCCCCAGGTCACCCCTATACAACACAGTAGCCACTAGGCACTTGTAACCCTTGAGCACTTAAAATCTAGCTGATGGGGCCCACATTGCAGGCATCCCTTATGGGCACTAGTTGGAGTCCACACTGCTCCACTTTCAATCCAGTTCCCTGCTAGTGAGCTTAGGAAAGCAGGAAAAGATTGCCAAGTGCTTGGGCCCCTGTGCCTATGTGGGAGATCTTGATGAAACTCCTGGCTCCTGGCTTCTGCCTGACTCATACCCAGCCATTTCAGTCCTTTGAAGCCTAATTAGAACATACTTATAGGAGTCTGGCGAAAACACAATATACAATGAAGTTGGTTGCCTAGAGAGAAATGATGAGAAGGGAGCAGGAAAGGATGGTGAAGAGAGAAAGAAAAGAGTTTGGCCAAAGTTAATGAGGAACATTTCATTGCTACAGAATAGATGCATGTTATCATACCATTGATGTATTTATATAATGTTTGTGTGTATGTATACAGTACACATTTCTTAAACTAAAATTATTTTTGGGTGTTTAAATATAAATGAAAAGTGATCTCTGTTAAAAATAAGAGTGGGAATAAAAGAGGGAAAAGATGTACAATTTGGGACAAGCTCAAGCTGACTTGCCCCAAATGGTAGAGTTAGAAACAAGCCTGGGGATTCCAATTCAATCCCATCAAGGTGGCATGTACCAATGCCATCTCACTAGGCAAAGTGATCAGTTTCAGTTCACAGTTGATCACACTGATAGGTCTAAGAGTCAAAGGGATCACATAAACAAGACTAGTGTCTGCTGATACTAACTGATAGAATTAAAAAGGGAGGGAACAATCCAACATGGGAAGCAGGATACACAGCAGACTCATAGAATGGCAGATGTCCTAAATAGCACTCTGGCCTCAGAATCAGCCCTTAAGGCATGCGGATCTGGCTGAAAAGCCCATGAGAGTATTTCAGGCATGGAAAGCCAAGACACTCTAGCAAAAAAAACTAAATGAAAGATCTCTGCAAGTGAGATCCCAGTGGAAAGAACGGGCCATCAGGGGAGGAGGTACCTTTCTCTGAAGGGAGGAGAGAAATTCCACTTTGACTATGACCTTGTCTAAATAAGATCAGAGTTGGCAAACTCAAAAGGCTGCCATAGCCTTGGCAACTCATGACAAGAGCCTAGGGAGGTTGCTGACACCATAAATAAGAGTGTCAATTTGTTAAGTCAACAACAGGAGTCACTGTGCACTTACTCCTCATGTAGGATCTCTGTCCTTACTGTGTTGTCCAATGTGAATTAATGCTATAACTAGTACTCAAACAGTACTTTACACTTTGTGTTTCTGTGTGGGTGTGAACTGTTGAAATTATGACTTAGTATATACTAAATTGATCTTCTGTATATAAAGATAATTGAAAATGAATCTTGATGTGAATGGAATGGGAGAGGGAGTGGGAAATGGGAGGGTGGTGAGTAGGAGGGAAGGTATGGGGGGGGGGAGCCATTATAATCCATAAGCTGTACTTTGGAAATTTATATTTATTAAATAAAAGTGGAAAAAAAACTAAAGGTAAAAAAGCATCTCATACAAAAAGTTATCCTGTGTGTTAGAATTATGGGTAAATTTTTCACTTACAGGCTTTATATTTTGTAAATTTTTGACAATGAGTATGCAGCATGTTGATAAAAGCTAAAAGTAAATTAAATCAGATAAAAACCCAAAAATCCAAATCAAACTTTCTTAAGTATATGGTGATGCCAAAATTGAGTACAATTGAAATTAACTTTACAGGAAAAGAAAAAAATTTAAAACTTTCTATAACTGATGATACCTAGAAATAATGTGATCTCCCAGAGTTTGTAGAATTTATTATTATTCATGTGAGCAACAAATGTATAAAAACACAGAGTGAAAAATAATCAAAGGCCTGTTTTATTTCTAATTAAAGGGGGGTTGAGAAACAGTAGAGGGACTCTGACTCTGGAAATGCTAATCTTTTCAGTGGAAATAAACCAGCCCCACCTCTCTCTACTCAGAAGGTCTCTGACTCTCCCTGCTCCTGGCCACAGTAGGACCCAAGGAGTGGGCCAGCAATCTTAGTTTGGGACATTCAGGGCAGCCCTCAGCAGCAGATAGTGCAGTTAACCAGCAACTAGATTGAGAAGCAACAAGAACCCAGGGCTCTCTGGTCTCATGGAAAAATCTGAAATCAGATCCAGAAGGGGAATGCTGAAACAACATGATTTGGATTGCATTTCTCTGGGTTTATAGCCTTCTTAAAATGCACAACCGAACTGAAGCTCTTAAAGTATGGCATGCAAAAAAGCAATATCAGTATTAACCCAGGAACTTGCCAGAAAACCAAGACTCTTGTCGTCAGTTATGGTAGCTGATTGAAGAACCTCAGCAATGCCCAAGTCCTGGACCCCGAAATGTGTGTGGCAAAAAGGGACTTTGAGAATGTGATTGAATTAAGGACGCTGAGATGAGAACCAAGTAGGTTCTAAACATAGTCAATGTCCTTAAGAGGGAGACACAGACAAATCTGACTGCAAAAGAAAAAGACCAGGTTGGGACTACACTGCTAGCTTGAGGATGGAGGGAGGAGCACAGTCCAGGTTGTGAAAGGAAAGCAGCTTTAGAAGCTGGAAAAGAACAAGAAACAATTTCTCCCGAGAGCCTCAGGAGCAAGCAGAGCCTTGGAGACACCTTGACTTCAGCCCAGGAAACCAGATTTCAGCCCGACACCCAGAGAGTGTGGCGATTCGTCACAGGAGTCACAGGAAATGAGTGTAGACTCTTCACAGTAGAGGAGACAGAATCTTGGGTATGGTGGCCTCGCGTGACAGCATCAGGGAGCACACTCTTTTTTACTCCTAAGCACAGTCACTAATGTTGAGTAGTGGCTACAAAAAAGAAAGCTGCCATCTAGGAGCCTTTGGCCATGTTTTTCACCAAGTGACCTGAGTAATGGGTGTACCTGTGCTTTTGGTTGCTGGAAAACTGTAGGGTAGTGATGTTCCTTACTATCAGAGTTTGGAAAACAGTAGAATTTGAGCTACCTTGCCATTTGAAAAGTTAATTGACAGCACAAGTACATATACAGGGGAGAAGCTAAGATGCAAAACAGCACCTGATAACAGCGGAGTATAGGAGATAGAATCTCCCTCTTCCTTGTCTTACATGAGAGGAAATCTTCTAATTATCTTCTTGCCTCCTTACGAAGACTAACTTAACAGGGTCAAAGGAAGGATTGGGGATTCAGCCGCCACATTATGAGCAGTGGTGTGATGCACAAAGGCATGTGAGATGCTGAAAATACAACATATAGATTAGTATTGTGGTGGAGGTAGTACTTGAACACTGGGTTAACACAATCCAAATTCCTTGCTCCCTTGCCATTCCACATGGCTTCATGCAGAAAAGGATGAAGACAGAGTTAGGACTAGAACACAACTTCCCTTTGCATTGTCAAAGATCCTTTCCAACTCACATTACTTATTTCTTTTATAAGAACATTCTTACATGACGCCATGCCTATCTGCATTCAGTGTATTACTGTGTATTATGTTGTTCACACTACCAGAGATGCTCATTTTTGTTCCCATCAGGTAAATAGTTAAGTATAGTAAAGGCAAAAAAGAATTTAAAAACTATGCAAAGAGGGTGTTGACTCCCGAGAGAGAAAACAACATAGTTCATTGAGCACTTTTTTGTGTGTATTTCTTTATATTCATCTCACAAATTCTTACAAGGTTTTAGGTTGGGTTTCATTACGTTCAATTTGTCTATAAGGAAAACTTATGTCTAGAAAAATGAGAGAATTGTCCAAAGCCAGTCCATCAGTGAGCAAACAATGAAGAATGTTACTTTTACCTCCACCAGATTCATAAAGAGAAAAATTAATTGACCTTCATAGCTTAATGGTACAGAACCTTCCTTGACATCTGGGCAGGTATGAGTGGGGAGGCAGGTGCAGCCACTTCCCATCCATCTGTGCCCTCAGGCCTAGTTTTCTGCCTTGAAACTCCAGAATACTGAAGCCTTGCTATGAAAACAAAATGAGACAAATTGTGATAAAAATCTATCACGGGCTGGTAGATCAATAACATCTTCCTCCTCATTTCCCTCTCTGAACTCATTCCTGTCAGCATGAGGAAAGAGCTGCTCAAAATGACCTCTAGGACCATGTAAATCCTGACATCCTGCCATCAAACCCCAAGCAGACTGACGTGCCTCCTCCATATTGCTTTATTCACAACAGGACTCCAGCTATTTCTCCTGGCTCCTTTACCACTCTGGCCCCTTCTATGTCCCAGTGAGTCCCATCTCAGGGCCTGAAGCAAAAGCTTGCTTTCTCAGCACATAAGCCGACATCCGAGTTATCCTATTCCCATACCCCTTTCCTTCCTTCTTCATCCGCAAATACTCTAGTCCCAGAAATATTTGAAATCATGAGATCGACCCTCATTTCCATCCTTATGAGAGAGGGGGAAAACTATAGAGGAAAATCCAACTAGCTTGAAGACATAGATTGGCTGCATAGAGTTTTGCTGAGTTAGAGCTGTGTTGTTTTCTTCTTTTCTATGATGAAACTTGGGCTATAAATAATTTCAGAAGCTGATAATATATCATCACCATAATGACTACTGTGAAGGACAAATTATGTATATTGTTAGGTTGTATAATTCTGTGTGTGTCCTAGGTTTTTCATTTTCCAGAACATCATCCTCATCTGTCCTCAAACTAAGATGCTGAGTGTTTTCTGGGTCAGGAATAGAATTGGGCTTTAACGAGTATTTCCTAGAACCTTCAGTTCTATCATCTAAATAATATGGACTTCATTTTACAATGACAATGTAAGACTGAGTTATTAAAAGACTTAATCAGAAGCTTATAGCTTAATAAAGTTTGACCTGCTGTGTATGAAAATGAATCAGACCAAGAGTCACAAGACCAAGGCTGGTTCCAATTGGCTCCAGTATTAATTCCATGTATGGCCATGAAAAGATCATGCCCCCCCCCCTCAAGGCTCAGTGTTCAGCTCAGACTTTTGGGTCAAGATGATCTGAGGTCTTTTCCATCGTCATAGTGCCACAATTGTATTTAGATTATGATATAAATGTCGAAACAAAGATACTTCATGATCTCTCTGAAAACTTTTGCTACACAAATCCTACCCACCTGCCAGAATATCCACAAGGGAAAAAAGTATTATCCAGTGTCTTCTTCCCAGGCCCAGAGGTACTACAAGTGTCACAGACAACAAGAAAATGAAAAGGGAGATCGAGGCTCAGGTTGTTGAAAACAAAAAGAACAAGATGGCCAAGAGATGCAAAGAAGGGTCTACAGCAGGTAAGGAACAGCTCTGGTGAGATCACTAGTGCTCAGAACTTAAAGACAAAACCAAAGAACTCTTCTTGGGCTTTTTTATGCCCTTTAACCGGAATGCATATATATGCATCCTTGCACACACACATGCATAGAGACTCATACTCATTCCACATAAGTAATTTCATATTAACCTTTAATCTGGTTTCTAAAACAAGCTTTACAAATGATATCAAAATACAATTCTACATACTCAGTGGAATCAGAGAACCTTCCTCTATCCCTGCTTACAGCAGCAGGGAGTCAAATTGCGTCATGGAAAGGTTTTGCCCATGGAAAAGTAACCATTGCCCAGGCCACATACAGTGAACTTTCCTCCCTCAAATATGCAGGAACCAGCATTCTGCCTTTAGTTTCCATCTCATGGAGAAGAGAAGGAAAAGCACAACACTAAAAGTGAGAAGAGCCATGTTGACCAAGGTAGATATAAATTTATTTTTAAAATATTGTATTAATTTTCTATGGCTACCCTAACAGAGGACCAAATTCAGTGGCTTATACAACACAAATTTTTGCTCTAAGAATTCTAGAGGCCAGAATATCAAAATTAGGTTATTGGCTGGACCATACTCCCTTTGAATGAGTTAGGGAAGGATCTGTCTCAAGCTGCTGTTCTTCCTAATGGGAACTTCTTGTATGTGCTGCTCCCCCTGTGTATACATTTCTGTATCCAATCTTATCCTTTTTATAATAGTCCAAGTCACATTGGACAAGGAACACACTATCTTAGCTGCTTATATCTGCAATGACTCCATATTCAAATAAGGTCACATACTGACAGACTGGAGCTTAGAACTTCAACACATCAACTTTATGGAGACGTAGTTCAACCCATAATAAATACCTCTCATGGAAAATTGGCCACAACCCAGTTCTCAATCTTCTCTATGAAATAATAGTTGCACTGGATGATTTCTAAGGGGGCTTTCAACAGAGCAATTCTAAAATTCCATCTGCAGATAAAATTCTATCACAAATTCTATTTATGACTTTAACTGCACATTACAATTATATGGGGCAGCTGTTACAAAAATGCCACTTCTGCTACAGGGCAATTAATCAGACTTTCAAGGGGGGTGGGAGTTTGACATTTTAAGCCCCTAGATGATACTAATATGCAGCAATGTTGAGGCATTCATCTACAATATTGCTTGAAGACAAGCTCAGATAGTATATTTCATCTCATGAAAAACATAAAAAACTTAGACTTTGTCCATATAGGAATTAGTATAACAAATGCAATCATGAATACTCAAAACAGATAAGAAACTAATTATAATTCTGAAGCAACCACTACTTTTCCAATCAAAATTCTTACTTTAATATTAATCTAGAGCAGGTCTTATTTCAAGACTTTGGTTTCTAGTCTCCTCCCTCTTTCACCTGTGTTTCCTTCAACACAGCACTTACTACTTGTTCCTGTGATGGTCTTTGAATTGGTCCCTTCCCCTCACAGGCTCTGTACTCCCTTAGGGCAAAGTCTATGCTTTAGTTGTCACTCTAACACTAATGCCTGATACTTGGTTAGTGAATGTTTTGCATGAATGAATGAGCAATTGATTCAATATGAAGATTCAGGATAGAAAATTTGAATCAAGAAGATGTTCACAAGGGCTTATTGCTATAGTAATTTGAACAATGGCATATTTGCCACTTTACCAAAATATATGCTTTATTTAGTCTCAGTAATTTGATTGTAAGAGCGCTCTTTGAAACCAAAATTAAGAGAATAGTGAGCTCTGCTCACATCTTGTAAGACTATGCTTTCTAGCAAAAAGCAAAAATACTTTTAAAACTAGATGAGTCATACTGTGTCCAAGGCTTCAAAATGCTTTTTCCAGAGAACAAGTAGCATTTCTCCTTGGAATTAAAATGAGACCTCATAGATCTATGACAAATCATGAAAGATGCAGGTTATATATAAAGCAGAATTCCTTGTCAAGGAATATTCTTAAATGAATTATTCCAGCTTTTATATTTATGCAGAGAAAGCCTTACACAAAGACAGAATGATAAACATGACTACTTCCTGGGAATCTAAATGTTTAACTCTACAATAGTATAGAGGTCCCTAACAAATCTTTCCTTGGCTGCATAGCTTCCTTATCTTAAAAAAAAAAAAAAAAAAACAGGCACCACTAACACAGAGTACATATTATGATTATTTTGAAGGAAACTATAAGTGCAGGAATGCTTAAAAATTCAAATATGTATCTATGTATTGATTTATTAAGTAAATGCAGATTCACTTATTGTCTCTTATGTTCTATTCATAATGCTTTGGAGAGAAAACAAAGTCAAAATAGGCACCTCACTCTTAATTGAAATTTCATTCTAACATGGAAGAAAAAAAGAATGCTTCATACATGTTAACTCACACATGATGCTTTTCCTATAGTAAAATGCTCTCAATAAAGCAAAAATAGTAATTTAAAATGGAGATAATGGTCAGCAAATGATGGAAGTACTTGTTTAAGTAACGTTCAAAGGGGTCAAATTTTGATAAGAGACACAGAGAAGGGTATTAAAAATGTGAGAAAAAATGGCATGTGAGATCCTGAAAAAAAAAAAAAAAAAAAAAAACTGGGCAGCCCCACCCACTTTTCCTGTTTTCTCTAGAAACACATGTGCAGTCATTCTCAAAGACTCAGCTCCCTAAAGTCATAAAAAACAGATGCTTGGCCTCATGTACTCACATTCAATCCCAGGAAACTCACCGAGCAGGTTGGTCCTCAGAGGTCCCATGCAGTCCTTGGATGCTGACACGTGGCCTGGCTGGCATACTGGTGTGTCCCAACCCCCATCCTCCAGATATTCCATCCTGTTGCCAAGCATGCCGTGTCACACCCATTTGTGTCCACAGGGGTGGTTCTACCTTCATATGACCCACAAAAACTAATGGGCATCCCACACCCACAGCCAGGTACATTGTTCCCAAAGCTGACAAAGACCCTAACTCTGCCTAAGAAAGTTGCATCTCAACTAGAAGCGCAATCCCACAACCCCTGTAGCATAGGCCAATGAGAAACTAGCAGAAATAGCCAACAGTTATTACAGCTGAAAAAGCTACAATGATACTCTGCTGGCCGGCGCCGCGGCTCACTAGGCTAATCCTCCACCTAGTGGCGCCGGCACACTGGGTTCTAGTCCCGGTCAGGGCGCCAGATTCTGTCCTGGTTGCCCTTCTTCCAGGCCAGCTCTCTGCTGTGGCCAGGGAGTGCAGTGGAGGATGGCCCAAGTACTTGAGTACCTGGCTCCTGCCATTGGATCAGCGTAGTGCGCCGGCCGCAGCGCGCCGGCCGCGGCGGCCGTTGGAGAGTAAACCAACGGCAAAAGGAAGACCTTTCTCTCTGTCCCTCTCTCTCACTGTCCACTCTGCCTGTAAAAAAAAAAAAAAAAGATACTATGCTATTGCACCCACTTGGAACCAAAGCTAAAGCAATATATTCAATCAACACTCCAGGACACACCACCATCAGAAAGTCATCTACTTTGATAACTACTCTATAAAACTGGTAGGAGCAACTAATCCATCACCAAATAAACAAATACAAACATAGGAAGATGAAGGAGCAAGGCAACATGACACCTCCAAAGGAACAAAATAATTCTCTAGTAACAGACTACAAAGAAATGAAATCAACCAATTGTCAAAGA